ATACAGTGCTTAAATAATGGTATATTTAATTGAGGTTCAGGTTTACTCCTTGGCAATGGACACAGTTGGTGAACTGGCACAAACTTCTCCACTGCAGCTGCAAGACCAAATAGCATTTTGTATGTCCATCCTTGTGCGGTTACACTTCTAAACCAAATGTAACCGGCTGACTTGGTTTTGTGGGTTGCTCTACAAAGTCTTTGTGTGCAGTGGTTTCGTTCCTCACAGCCGTGCTGGGCATGCAAAGCCACCCATATCTCCTGCTCCCCATGGGGTCTGCAGAGGTATCCCAGAGCACAGCCTGCCGGAGAAAAAAGAAAACAATATTAAAGAAGCAAAAGGAAAGGGGGGTGGGGGGGTGTCATATTCATTCAGAGAAGACGAAAGTCTCATCAAAGTTGAGCTGCATTTTCCTCTCCTCCCCATTTCTTTGTCCCTTATGCGCTCCCATGCATAACACATATAGGTCTGCAGTAAGTTCAGGCTATTTCCTTAGGTAGGCTTGGACTACCTGCTGGGCTCTTTAAGCATCCTAAAAATAGATATTTCTCCCTCCTTAGAGATGGGGATCAAATGAGGTGCCTGTGTTGTGGAGCCCTTTTTCACTGGCACAGTTGCGAAGTCCCCGAGCCCCACATTGCAGACAGGCAATGCCGGCCAATCTGCCACAGTCACACTGCTGGCACCGCCTGGGTTTTTCCTTGAATGGGTTTCTCCTGTGTTTGTGTAAAAAGGTTTCTCACACTGCTGCAAAGATTCCAAAGATCGGCCTGAAGATGAGAGCAGAACACGTGCAAGATGGTACACAGTGATACTCCTAAGACAGACTTACTGTTTGCTTTACAGGAGTGATCGCTGTTGGAAGGAATTATTTTAGGAACTGTCATGTTTGTTTTAATAAGACACCAGAGAAATTCTGTACTGGCTGAGAAAAAGTCATTCTTGTCCTCTTCTAGTACGTCGTTTCCTCCTGTGCATCGGCGCAGGCGGGCGCTGAGGTTAGAGGTATGGATCTGGGCCTTTCCTGAGAACAGTAAACCACATATTTTGACTTTATGTCTTTGCGGTTTGTATGTGGATGTGCTAATGCTCTGGCCTTGTGTGAACATTACAAACATAAGCAGTAAATGATCACAGTATGATACTTACTGAAGGATTGGTGCCTTAACCATAGCAGATGGAGTATATAGACCTGTCCTTTACTCCTTGAACGTGGTTAGTTTCTTTCTCCTGAAGGCCAACACATTAGAGGTTGATGGAAGAAATCTCAAGCCTCCGCACTGTAGCAGTTCTGACAAACTTACAAGAACGTTTAAAATTAAAGCTAAAAAGCAAATATAACTCTCAGAGCTGTCCAATAAATAGTAAAATATGAATATAACTGACCTGTTGACCGTATCTGCGGTGATGTAGATCTTCAAATACAAGGATCATGTTCTGCTGTTGGACCTGACTGTCATGTCAGCTGGTAGCAGCTTCTTGATGACATTTTTATAAGGTACTTCCCTTTTTTTACCCTAGCTCAGCTGAGGATTAATTGTAATGAGGTGAAGGGAGAGTTGAATGGATGCTGACAACTTCACAGTAACCTCGACTACTGTCTTTGGTTGGCTAACGTCACACCATAAGACACCGGGTTAGGGATGAGTCTGCCAACAGTTATGGCCCTATAGCGATCAGCGTGGCAGACACGCAGAGAAGCAGCGGGAGTCGAGGGCAGGAGAAAAATGCAAGTACGTACCCACAGAAGACATGTAAAAGGGGTAGGTTATTGCAGCATGGAGCAATAGGAAAGTGAGAGGCCAGTATTGATCAGGCAGGACTCTTCTGTAGATCTCTTTTTCTCTTTTTTTATGACTTCAATTGAAATTGTAAATGTACCATTTATAATAAAGTAGCTTATGGGTTTGTTCTTCACAGTTTGTAGAAAAATATGAGAAACCAAGATCTGGTTCATCCCCTTGCCAGCTCAGGATGATACCTGCCCAGATCATTCCAGGCAACGATGCTATACTGAAGATGTTCCAGTCATCTTGCATTTAAAAAAAGAGTACATAGCCTGGATATAAGAACAAAGCAATGTGATGAGTAATTTATCCAGAAAATATCAAGTAGAGCTGAAAGGGGACTAATACAGAGCTTCATTCAAAGTTGAAAGCAAAACCTGCTCCTTTATTGTTGCAAAACCAGAGGCAGTTCCTTTTCTATCTATCATCTCAAACACCAGAAGAACCAGACTCCACAATGTAGATGTTAAGGTAGGACTCAATTGGAGTGAATAAAACTCTTGTGTCTATATGCAGTAGAGGCTTAACAGATAATGTATCAGCAGCCTGATTTTGCTAAAAAAAACTTTGTGGTTTGTTGATTGGACACCCTAAACTGAAAAACCAGCTAAGATGCCATGTTCAGAATTGCCTTCTCGTGGTAGATCAGCTGCCTCTGGTGTCTCAGGAGCAAGTGGCTGTGAGCAGCACTGGAAGTGGGGTAGAAAAGGTGGTGTTGACCCTTGGAGACTGGCAAAACCAATGTAGCCTGTGGGGTGGAAGGCATTTTCTTTACATTTTTTTGGATGTTTGCCTCATGAAACATCTCTCCAGGCCTGCGTTAGGTGAGCTTCGCTCTTCACCTAAATTGCTTATCCACAATTTGAGGATGGATAGTGGTCACAGAGGAGAGGAGATCATGCTGCACCATGCAGTTTTAAAAGTTACCTTGATGAATACTTAAGGATTAAAATCAAATGGACTATTTCTGCCAGAAAATGTCTTCCTCCTCTGCTTTCTGCCAGAACTTTTCCTTCACAGCCCATCTTCTACCCTATCCCAGACAAACACTGTTCTTCCTTTCCCCATCTTGCTCCTTCCTATGTCAGTGATGGTTTCTTATCTCCTCTCATTCCCTCAACACACCCGTTGCTTGCTGTTGCTTGTTGTTCTCCCCAGGCTGGCCCTGAGAGAGGCCACAGAAGAGTCACAGGCTGTCTGCCAGTCACTCAGGCGTGTGCTTAATGGGAATGGTGGTCTGGTGGTCTTGGTCTGGTGGTCACTTGAAGACCAGGCCATGCATAGAGGGATTGGATAAGGAGAACGGTCGCATGAGAGCCTTGCAGCAGCATGTGTTGCCATTGATTAATGGACATTTTGGAGTGGAGACCAAAAGTAATGAAACATGAAATAAGGTTGTTATAAAAATATATTGGAGGATTCACTCTGTGGTTATACTTTTGGGCTCTGAATATTATGTTGTTAATAGTTTTGCATTGCTGTTGGTTGGGTACCTCAGCTGGTCCTGGGACCTCTCTAGATGATATCTGCAAGTACTGGACTCACATTTTCCTCTGAGTCTATTTTTTTTTCCTGTGAGACAGCCCGTATTGCCTGTCAGATGTGTTATTACTCAAAGCTGTTCCTCACCTGGTGTGACCAAGCAGAGCTTCACTGAGTAAAGAAATGGGTGAAAATGACTTTGTATTTTCTATGGCTTGCAGAGAAGGACTTGGCAGTACTGGTGGATGAAAAGCTGGACATGAGCCGGCAATGTGTGCTCTCACAGCCCAGAAAGCCAATTGTGTCCTGGGCTGCATAAAAAGAAATGTGGCCAGCAGGTCAAGGGAGCTGATTCTGACCTTCTACTCTGCTCTGGTGAGACCCCACCTGCAGTACTGCGTCCAGCTCTGGGGTCCTCAGTATGGGAGAGACATGGACCTGTTGGAGCAGGTCCAGAGGAAGGGCACAAAAACGGTCAGAGGGCTGGAACACCTCTGCTGTGAGGACAGGCTGAGAGAGTTGGGGTTGTTCAGCCTGGAGAAGAGGAGTCTCCAGGGAGACCTGATTGTGGCCTTTCAATACTTGAAGGGGGCTTAGAAGAAAGATACTGTTTAATAGGGCCTGTAGCAATAGCACAAGGGGTGATGGTTTAAACTAAAAGAGGGTAGATTCAGACTAGATATAAGGAAGAAATTTTTTACGATGAGGGTTGTGAAACACTGGAACAAGTTGCCTAGAGAAGTGTTATGTGCCCCATCCCTGGAAACATTCAAGGTCAGGTTGGACGGGGCTTTGAGCAACCTGATCTAGTTGAAGATGTCCGTGCTCGTTGCAGGAGGGTTGGACTAGATGACCTTTAAAGGTCCATTCCAACCCAAACCACTCTGTGATTCGATGACTCTGGCACATTTATGCATCCATTCACTTCTCACCTCTGGACTAAAATTAATGCAGAAATTACAGTTAGTAGTATGGAAAACATTTAAGGAGTGGTCTTGTATTATTGCACCATTAATCTTCAGGCAATCGCTGAAGGCACTGAACAGGGTCTTATTGTGTAAGCCCCCCTTTTAGCCACCTCTGGAGAGTGATCCATCCCACCCTGCGCTAAGCTGGGCCTCAGCTGTGTAAAGGCAGGCATGAACATTTGGGTCTGTGTCTGATCTACTTACCTTTTACGGTCAATGGAGGGAAACAGGCACTTCTAGGTCATGATTCATCTTGTCCAAATGTAGGCATCAAGAATAATTAGGTGAATCACACTCTGAAACTGCTTATTTCTCTCCATTAGAATGGAAAATTATAAAGGGAGAACAAGGTGATTAGCTTATATGCATACACCTACCCCATCAGTGTCTCCAGGGAGGTGAGATGAACCTCCTACAGGTCTAAGACAGGTGTGATGAATTGCCCTCTGGAGGGTCTTACCCCCATTGCTTAGGAAACAAGTCAAAGGCAGGCACCTAGCTTAGACTAGACACTTAACTTCTAAGTTACTAAAATTAAATTAAATTACTCCCACCCTGAATCTGTATATGCCACTAATAAGCAACTGTTTTTTTCTGGAACTGTTGTCTCCAAAAGAGGTATCAAGGATTCAGGAAAAAAATGCAGAGAAATTTCTGAGAAGCTTCACATTAAATTTTTTAATATTTTATTGAAAGCTTTTTATTTTAAATTATAAGTTTTCTCTTTTGATGATCCATTTGTAACTCCAAAACACAGAACAGATTAACTCTCCTTTGGCGCTGGCAGGGTTAACCTGAGTACTCTGATGGCAGGGAGGCTGTGACTGGCTGGTTGAGGGCTGGTTTGGACCCTTCCTCCGTGACTCTTTGATGGCATCAGTCTCTTCAAGTTCTTGTTTGTCTGAAACTTGAGGAGCGAGAGGATCGCCTGCTGGAAGTTGTCTCCCGTCACTACGTAGAGCAGTAAGTTTCCAAAAGTATTTAACGCTGCTAAAGGTTTAGCTATAATGAACATAAGAAGGATTGTGTTCTTCAAGTGGCAGCTAACCAGTCGTACTCGGAGCTCCAGCCGAATCCCTCGAAAGATGTGGTAGGGGAGGAAGCACACATAGAAGACCACCAAGAGGATGACAGCGAGTCTGCGAGCCTTTAGCTTGTAGCAAGCCCGCGTGTGGGGCCCGATAGCCAAGGTGTAAATAATGAGCGTGTAGCACAGAGTCACCGTCAGCAAGGGCAAGAAGAAGGCCAGGCCAGTCAGCAGCCAGTTATACCACCGACTAGTGTCAAGGTCCTCAGCGGCAGCCAGGTCCGGGCAGATCGTCCTGTTCTGCGTCTGCCTCGTGGCAATCAAGATGCCCAAGGGGCTGACGGCTGCCAAGGAAATCGTCCAAACTACTGTGCAAGTCACCACTGCCCATCTCCGGTTTTGAACAAAAAAGCATTTAATTGGGTGGACAACTACAAAAAAGCGGAAGATGCTGAAGCAGCTAAGGAAGATGATACCGCTGTACATGTTGAAGTAGAAACAAAGGTGAACAAACTTGCACATGAAGTCTCCAAAAATCCAGTTATTTCCATTAGCAGAGTAGTGTATAAAGAAAGGAAGCGTGGCTACATATAATAGGTCAGTGATAGCCAGGTTTAACATCATGATGGTGCTGCTTTTCCAGGGCCTCATCTTGACAAAGTAAACAAGAATTGTCACGATGTTGCCTGGGAAGCACACCAGGAAGATTAGGCCGTAAAGGATGGAGACATAGGATTTCACCTGTAAGAAATCTTCATCCTTGCAGCTTGTCAGCGGGTGTGCGCAGCCTGGCAGGGTAGTAAAATTGCTGGTGCATTCAGATGCCATGTTTGCAGAAATCTTCTTAAAGCTTTACAAAAATCAGATGTTTAGTTTTAATTGATTTGTTGGGACAAATGCATTCAGTTAAATCTTTTGGCACTGGAGCAAATGTCGTGTGTTTGACAAGGCGTAGTAGAGGGAGGGAATGGGGATTTGCTAACGTACCCAGCTCTGACCTAGATAACCCCACTCAAATCTTTAATTTCACCCTTCCCTCTCCTTTATGTTTAATTTTGATAATGATTAATTTTACTCTTGCTTTATTTAACCTCCTACGTTGAAGAAGATAATTACTGCTTATCTGCAAACCTTCAGGAATAGGAAGCACACATTTGGAGAGCTAGAGCACGTTTGGGCTTAGATTTTGCAAAACCGTGAATTAGTCTTAGCCTTTCAGAAAGTAGAACCGTACCCATATCTTATCTTCATTAATCTGAAGTAATCAGGGGTTTGTGCTCATGAAACCAGAGATGCTGTTCTGGTTCTATGAAAATCAAACGATGTTAGGTTCAGATACAGATCGCAGGACCTGATGCTCCCATAACCTGACAATCATGGCTCATTCCCTGAATATGATCTCATTCTCTTGGAGTCATCAGAGTATAAAACTAGAATAAATGCATTTATAAAAAAAAAATCAGGCTTTATAGCGGCATAAAACTGATTTAAATTATTAAGACTGTTTCTCAAAATGCAGAGATAAGATGGAAGCACAGATACTGAGTGAAAGCACTGATCTTTCTTCCTGTTTTGTGTGAATTGGAGCTAGATAGACTTGTCTCTGAAATGGTTTCTCATCCGCCATAGCCAATTTGGATCTCTCCACAGTGAGTTCAAGAAATAACCTTTCTTGGTAGTGTTTTAATCTGAAAGAATGGTAACCAAGGATGAAAAATCATCTCATCTAACTTAAGATATCAGAAAGTTAGGTGCTTAAAATGGAGCCAGACCTCCTTAAGCCACCCTTTATCATCAAGGGAGACATATAGGTTCCTCCAGAACATAATATATCTTCCTATAAGGTTTCCTTTCCTATGAGGTTTCTAAGATGATTTACTCTTCTGGCATACCTATTTCCTTCCATTGATGACAAAGGCAGCCCAAGGTGACTAGTTCAGACCTGGATGTCTAATCTTCAGATGTCTCAAGTGAGGCAAGAGGTGTGCCTCTGTGGGTCTTCAGCATCTCAGGTGAGCTCCTCCAGATCCTAACCTAGTCCATCTAAGAAAATATTTTAAAAAGTGACTTCATAAAGTGCTAGACAGGGTACTATTGAGCCCAAATCCCTCTCTGTTGTCCCAGAAACACAGTCTTTAAACTAAATCAGTGTTACACTGAACATCCAGGATAAAGCCATCACATTAAAAAATAAAAATAAAAAAAGAAGAGTCAGAATTGTACCTTACTGCAGTCCTGGAAATCCTTTGTATAGAATTAGGTTTTGATGTGATTCAGTTAACAGCATTTAGCATGTTACCTGTATGGATGTTTCTGTATTATCCCAATGACTGGTAGAACATGAAAAATTTTCTCTGACAAAACCAGTCATTAAAGCTGGGACACAACAGGAGTTATTTGATCATATCCAGTCAGAAGGATGGGTATCAGTTTGTTTCTCAGGAGCACGTCAGAGAGAAATTTGAACAGTCTCCCCATAATTTAGTTAAAAAGCTAATGCTTTTCAACATGAATGTTAGCTCTGGTATAGCAGCTTTGCAAAAAAAGATGCGTTAGGTAAAGGCTATGAAGCTTGTTTTAAACAAATCCAGATTTATGTTCAGACAAAAGCTAGGGATATACACGTTTTCTCTCTTTTCTGCTGCTCAGTGATACCACTGTCACCCGCATTTATGCCCCTCACTGGTATATTTCAAGTAAAGTTACGCAAATTTTCTAGAATATTTGATTCATCCCCAGTTTAGTTTTCCTGCACTGCTGATCAGTTCTCCACTGCAATCTTGAACCTTCCAAATTGAAAATGGAGAAATATCGCTTACCTGAAAACTTGCAATTCTGCTTCTCCCTTTGATATTGCTTTGAGCAAAGAACACTACAAATGAAACGTATTTCTGTCTTCCTTACAGTGAAGCAGGTTTTAGTATGGCTTTGCAAACATATACATTCACTCCCTGGCAGACTGAGACTCCATGTGGCCGTAAATTAGGAGGCTGGTAGAAAACCTCAGTTACTGGCTCAGGTATCAGCTCTTAGACCTGGGTGGCTGGATGAGATCTCTTTTGCCCTTTGTCATTCATGCTGTCTTGCCTTCAGTGGGCAGATCGTGCTTTGCTGGCAGCAGTTCTGCGTGCTGAGGTAGACTTGTATTATTCAAATAGCAGCAGATCACATTTAAATTAGTGTATATGTGTGCGTGCATGTGTTTATAAAAGAGAAAATTAAATTTATTCTCCATTTCCTCTGAAGTGAAACATGATGACCAAAGTGAATAAGGTGTCTTGCCATTTTGAGGTCAGGTGAAAAATGTTATGACGTACTGTCTTCATTAAAAACAAATTTCCAATTAAGTACAATTTTCATCAGATGTAAGAAATGAAGGTTTCTTTTGGCATGATGAGCTTTTCAGGAACCGTGGCATACTTTCTGCTTATTTTTGGTGAATAAAATAGCTACAATTAGTGTTGGCTGGTTATTACTGGGGTAGCTGAAGTTGCAAACTTGTTTTCTTTTGAGCCTTTGCTTTCAGGCTTCATGATTCGCAAGAGCTGCAATTTTCCATGCTTCTTGAACTAAAAGACTGCTCTTGAATAAAAATCTCATTATCATCCTTAGCTCGAGGAACAAGATCAAAAGAGATTATCATTCAAAAAGAAAAAAACTCATAGTATCTTGAATTTTGAAACTGTAGGCTTCAATCTCTGAGCTTGCAACCTGGTCCATGCCAAGAGGCCCCAGGTGCCCAGCGTGGCTGGCAGCCTTTTGGCCTTGGCACATTTTATAGGTCCTACTCGCTGATGAAGCTTATGATCCGGTATTAAACAAGCAAGCTTTCATTTCTGAACATTACGTATGTCAGTGTAGTTACTGAGAACCACACAGATAAGGATGTTTCTTGGAAGACTGTCCTACTTTCTTTGGGTGCCTGTACCTTAGGCATGAGTTGGGAGAAGGCTATCTGTTTTGCTAATCATACTGCAGGGAAAGAGTGGTAACGGGGACAATCAAGACTGGGGCAGCAGTAATGTCTGACAACTACAACATTATCTATATGTTACCATTAAGGGAATGGCATCATCTCTGTTCTCATCTGACCAAGCTTTTCTCTAAGTCAATGCCTACTTCTAAAAAATGTCCGAAGTTGCTCAATAATTGTAAAATACACTGTTGTGTACCAGCTCAGGGATCAGCAACTGCTTAAGTAGCTATTACCCTGTTCCTAGACACTGCATGTGTCATTAGAAACCATTTGTATGAGGCTGTAGTGCTATAAGCGCAGGGGGAGCTAATTATAGTTAGGCATCATTTAATGCATCCACTACTTAATCCATTATACCCCTGAGCAATAGAAAACCTGTGCAGCAGTGGCTGGTATTTATCCTTCCTTGGTGGTGGCAGTGCCTTATGTGAAGCAGAAATGGGCATTCCCGGCACTGTGGCCCCGAACTGCCTGGGATCTGGGGCACTGGGGTCTTGAGCGGGCACTGGGGTCACCTCTGAGTATCTGACTCTGGGCAAGAAAAGAAAATAAAACACCCAGTTTCAGACCAGTTTCAAGAGAGGGTGACTAATAGAAGGTTGTTCATGCAGAGCTGCTCTGCATGGAGACCGAGCTATGCTCCTTAGCTTACCCAAATCTTGTCTCATCATCAGCTGTAGAGGTCATCTGGCTCCTGCCTCCCTCCAGCCTCCAGGCACCCTTCACCAGGGTTTCAGCAACTCCTCATTGCACATGGACCTCTGGAAACATGGGCTTCGACTGCAGCCATGCCATTGGCCCAGGGACTTGTGTCATGGGCTTGGGAAATCACAGATAAACTAACAAGGGCCAGTTGCAAATATCTGATTGAAATCACTTGCCTGGCATCTTGTAGGATCTCTATGAATAAAGGCTTATCCTGCAGTGCAGCTTTCAGCTCTTTAGTCTGTGGGCCTTTTCTCTTCACCAGTCGTTTCTCCACCTCACGTCCATGGACTTTTTAAATCTGGCCATAGGTAGACCAATCTGATCCTTACCAAAAATGTGGCTCTTTTTGTGCTTTAAGGCTATCCTCACCCCGCTCCCCTCTACAACCATTGGAGGGAAATCAAAGTACCCTGTAGTTTCACAGTCGGCTTAAGTGACTTTAATTGCAGGCTGCTGTCAAAAGACTTGGCAGCACCACCTCCCTCCTCTCATCCTAAACCACGTTTTCAACAGCCCCAGTGCTTGCGCAGTCATGGGATGTGTTGGATAAGTGAGCTGACTGAAAACAAACCAGTTTTCTTATTCTTGGGTTAGCTTTCTGGTGATTTGGTGAGGGGCTACGGCTCCTTTTGTGGGTGCGCAGGCTCCAGGGCTTACGGGAAGCAGTGACGGGGACGGACCGGGGCAAGAGGAGGACCACAGAGGTAGACCAGCTCACGCTGGCAGCGAGGTTGGACGTGGGTTCCTGCTGTGGAGTGGTGTTTCCTTGCCATTACCAGCAGCCAGCCACCCTCAGCTGAAGCTGGTCTCCGGCAACGTGCCCCCCGGAGACAGCACTCATCTCTTGTTTCAACAGTCTTCCAGGCAGGCTGGATTGATTTGTCAGATGGGCTGTCATTTTCCCTAATTTGATGACTATTAATAAGAATTGCAAAGACCACTAATCCAACAGCAAAAAGCTAGCTAGTTGCACGTTTCCTGAAACAACCATTATAAAATCCTACAGAGTTCATGTGTGTATATGAATGTTGCTCTTAGTCACTGTATAGAAAGGAAACAGGAATAATTTGGTGGCAGGATTATTAATTAAATACTTCCTCTTGAAACTTTATACTATAGGCTGGGTCAGCTATCACGGAGTGCA